GAATTTATGATATAAACATTTAAGTAGTAGAAAATTATTACATTTAATAAATTAATGTATTAATGTTAAATTCTGAATATTTTTACTGTAATATCAAGTAAAATTTATATTTAAAGGTGATAACTCCATTTCGATCACTAGTTTTCTGTGGTGAAAGTAGACAAGAAATGGAAGATTGGTTGAATGCATTAAGAACAGTAACAGAAAATCGTTCTCAGACAGATCCTGGAATTGCAGACATGCTTAGTGGTAATCATCAATGGTATGCAACAAGTCATGCAAGACCAACATACTGCAATGTTTGCAAAGATGCTCTGTATGGTAAATATAAATTCTTTAATATTTATTCTCTTTCTGTATTAAAACAAATCATATATTTAATAAATAATACTTAATGACTTTTTTTTATTGTTAGTATGTAGTTTCCTAATATTAATTTTAGTAAAATATATAAATTTTATAAATAAACTTATAAGTATTACAGTAAGATATTATGGTCCACTAATTACTGTACTTTTTCTTCTTTTTTCCATTGAAGTGATTATGAAAAAGGTGGATATATAAGTAGAAAGAATATATTTCTACGCCAAACTTTTTTTTATGAATCTAAAATAAAAAACAGAGATACATCAAAATGTTTTATTCAATGTGCATTATTTAAAAGGATTTAAATTTTCTCTAAACTTTATATACATGTACCTGATTTTTCAACATAATTTTATAAGCTAATAGGAGCTGATTTTTAACATAATTTATGAAACTGATTTATCTTAACTTGGGAATATATTAACACAATAATAATATAATAGTTATACAGTAACATAATAATAATATTCCTTATTCTGTTCATGATAATATTTTACTAAATTTTTATAAATGTTATTGATTCATACTTTATAAAAGTGTTAATTATTATAAAGAGCTAATATGTTTTTATTTATACTTTAAGGTGTTACTTCTCATGGATTGAGCTGTGAAATATGTAAATATAAAGTTCACAAACGATGTAGTATAAAAGCAATAAATAACTGCAAATGGACCACATTAGCATCTATTGGCAAGGACATTATTGAGGACCAAGATGGGGCATGTATAATAGATTAATAAAAATTATTTTTTTAAATAATGATTTTT